GAGGTAGGAAATACCTTTTGCTGGGTTCCCGTTTCTTGCTGAAATCGTTAGCGAGCGGTACCGTATGCCCGTTGTTATGGGTGGATGTGGAAGAATGGCATGGGACTGGAAAGGGATGTTTTCGTGGCTGGGTGCAGTGAGAGGGGAGGGAGGGACAGGGCTCTGGTGGCATGTTGGTAGGAAAGAGGAGCACGCTTCTGATACGTCGGAGGTGGAACATGCTGTATAAGACGAATGCTCTTTGAGGAGTCGTTGACGTGATACTCAAAGATCAGGCGTGTGGACTACCGGTTGTGTGTAGGTGCTGGGGGGGGGGGGTTGAGAAGGGGGAGATGGTGGTAGGGGGAATGGCAGAGAGTTGTTTGGACTACTTGTGTGAAGGTGGAGGGGGGAAATGGGAGTTCTGATGTGTTAAGTAAGGTAAGGTATGTGACTTGTTGACGGCCCAGGTTTGGTTGGGCCAGTCCCAGTGGCCAAGTCCTCAGCCCCAACCAGGTTTTGAGGTTTGACTGCCTTACTGAGGCTCCTTCACGTGTGTTTACCCCGCATCGTCTTTCCCCATCATCTCATATCGCAATGTTTTCTGTCATAAGATGGCAGACCCTCTTAGCATTACAGCATCGATTGTCGGCATAGTTGCTGCCGCATCCAAAGTGTTGAGCCTCCTTGGTGATATAACCGATGCGCCAAGATCCATCGCCGACCTGCTGAATGAAGTGTACGATCTACGGCTCATCTTCTGCAATCTTGAATCATTCATTGACCGAACGCGACGATTCGACCCAAGCCGACTAGCCCTTATACAGCTTGGCGACCTCGTCGCTATTCTCACCCGTACAGTCATAACCTTCTCTGAACTCGAATCTATTGTGCGGCCGCTTTGTGACCGAGAAAAGCTGTCAACATGGCAACTTGTGAGCTGGAGATGGCAGCAAACTGCAGCCCTGCGAGTTTTGACTCAGCTTCAGCGACACAAGACATCACTCTCCCTGATGCTCCAGATATACCAATGGCATGTGACCTGCCCTCTATGGTCAAGAGCTCTGCTGACAGCCGCCTCCATTAGTGTGACTGACCTTGAGGCACGCCAGAAAGCCGGTGCACTCCGTGATCATCTTGAGCAGGAACTGGATGATAACCAGGGCTTAGCTGACAGATTGGCTGGCATGGAATTGTCACCAGAGCTCGAGGAGATGAGCACGGCGGTTTTCGACATGAATGATGCATCAAGTGCTCTTCAAACTCCCGGAGACAGACAGGACCCGACTACTGCCGATCTTGAGCTGGCCAAGACTGGTGCGATTAACACCGACCTCCCACTAAACACACCTCCAGATCAGGCATCGACCAATGAAAGCGAAGATGATGATGGCATGACAGACTCCGAGTTCCAGCTATCAAGAGCATTCGAAGTTGTTATGTTCCGAACCTGGGTATATCGTCGAAACGAAAGGGAAATTGTAGACGGGGTCAGCACCATCAACACCACGAGATCGCGGGCATGGTCGATACTATCCGGTATTACACTGTCTAAAATATCAACGCTCTCGGTCGTCAACCTGCCACTGACGCAGCCGGAGGTTGAAAGATTCACAAGCCTTGCAAGCAGGTCGCTTGAACTTCGAAAGCCAGCCCCTCCTACCAGGCCATCGAGAACTGATATAGCGATTGACCCACGGCTTGTAAAAGAGCTGGAAGCTTTCCCAAAACGCAGCCCGGCCTTTTGTGAAATAATCCCCCCGAGGGGTAATTGGGTAAAGATAAACCTTTCTTGAGGCACTGTTCAATACGTTTATACTGACGAGTATTCAGAGGGGTTATTTGGATGCGACTATCGTGGGGCCGGCAAGTTGAACGCTGGGGTTTTGACTCAAGCTAAAATACAACCACTAACTTCTAACCAACCAGACAGTCCCTACGCTGGGGGTGTGTTCATCTTCAGCCTGCGCTTCCCGATCGATTACCCTTTGAGGGCACCAGAAGTCAGGTTTCTAACGCGGATTTACCACCCGAACATCACAATGGCTGGAGATATCAACCCTCCTGTTACGGGCATACCATGGGTCCCAACCACTACTTTGTCCATTAGTAGGTCCTGAAACTCTTACTTCCGTGAACTTGACACCAAGGCTAACTCTGTAAGTTGTCGATACGCTGCATCAATTACTCCAAGAACCGCTGATTGATTTCCCGCTGAACGAGGAGATTGCCAGGGTCTATGAAACAGATCGACAAAGCTATTTAGCTACAGCTCGGCAATGGACCAAGAGATATGCTAGTGGGACTTTTTCTGCATAGATTAAAAGTTTCTTTTTGTCTTTGTATATGTTTATTCAACCGCAGACATACGAGTTTGACATCAAGTTATATATGCTTCATGCTATTTTGCTGGCAGAATAAACCGTATTAAAAGACGTATTCACTCTGACTGGGTTCAGCTTCTACTCTTGTGACAGTTTTATGAGGAAGGTATGATCTCAACCCTCAAATAAGTATGTGCCACGAAAGCGGTGTGAACGGGGAGGTCAATCCATTCTTGACAAGATTAGTGATTATGTTGCGGTAGCAGATGCTGCGTCAAACAAATGAGCTTCCCATCAGGCGCACTCCCGCTTGAGACACTGAAGTCTCCGGTCTATTTACCTAGCTAGTTACCTGGTTGCTCCAGCGATTTGATCAGGCTGAGGAAAGAGCAAAGTGGGGAAATTCGAGCCACGAGCTTTTGCAGGCAGGAGCGATGCTGAAGGGTATTTGCTCTTTCCTTCTCTATCCAGTCTTCAGGCAACAGGTTGCCTGTTAATTTGAACCCCACAATTTGAATATTTCTCAAGACCCGAGCACAAACCTTAGCTAAAACATCTTGCAGTCTCGATCATCACGATCGTCTTCAATTTCTGCCGTCAGGCATCGCAACCTCACCAACATAAAGAAACCTTGCCGTTCACGCTCTATTTATCCTACCTACCTCATTCGTCGATTCCTTGACATCTACAACGCGACCCGGTATCCTCAATCATCTGTGCGACCCTTCGGTCACTGGTGCGAGATCCAGCGCCGCAGCACCTCCCGGAAAAATTCAGCGGTGGAATTCGTAAGTCGCTCCATTATTATTGGAAACTGCTTACCATTCTCTTGTTTCCATTATTGATATGTCCCTCGATTCATGACTGACTCTTTGTCGCAGACGGCTCCGCGCTGCTCAGCATCACAGCATAGAACCGCACAATGGATGTGGAAATTGATCATAAGGACGTAACGAGGTTTCGTGTGAAGGAGCTTTTGGGGCTTTTTTTTATCCTAGAATATGGGTACAAATTCGGTACTTTCGTAACTTGTGAAACGAGTTTCAACGGATCGGCAGTCAATTACCAACTCTCTAACCGGCATAGCACGGAGCCAGTGACGAACTTTCTTCTTCATCGCGACATACACAGTACACATCCGGTCGTCTTTCAATTTGAATTGGAGACAAAACTTTGTAACATCTACGACCGGACACCTAGCGAGATGCGCGAAAGGGAATGCAGACGCCAAGCCAAAGGTTTTGTGAATGAAGAGAGAGATGCCTTACTTGGAGGATATCCAAAACCACGCCGACTTCAGCACTTGGCAGTGCAGTTATTCTGAGTCTCCAGGACCACATACGAATGCCCAGGTGGAAGTCCTCATCACCAGCGTCTACCTTGCAGCGGAGCAGAGGTTGCCCTCCCAGTACGACATCGACTTTTGGGACGGTATCATGCATATACTTAAGGAGAAACCAAGGACGTGATGTCGGCATTCGACGAGCGAGACCAAAATCCTCGCGCGGACTTTTCTTCGACAGGTCTCAAGGACATAGAATGCGCACATGGCGCGATTGCATGCTGTCAGTTGCTCCAGCATTTTCTGGAGAGTCCTACTACTGCGTTGAATAACCTGAGGGAAGTGCTGGCAAGTTTGGAACAGCAGTGAAGTGAAGATCAGGAAAGACTTCGACGTGCTGCTGAAGCCGGAGCTGTGGTGCACAAGCTACGGCTTCACTGTCACGGGACAATTGCGTGGCGCACAATCGATAGTGATGAGACGTTCAACACGTCCTTGTTGTTTGCTAACTTCTCCAAGAGTACTGAAACGGTATTGGGGCAAGTTTGGAACAAATACGTCTTGGATCTAATATCTACCACCCAACTGGTGTTGAAAGATGCTGCCGAACAGGCCTCACAAAGGGCAGAAGGACGTCTTTTGAGGGTTGAGGCAGGGGAGTGCATCTTGCAAAGGCTTGGAAATATAGGAGAGGGTTTGCAAGAGATGGAGAGTGAGCGGAGGAGGGTGCAAGACGAATACAGCGGCAAGATCGACGAGATCACTACCACAGTGAAACGCTTGGAGATGCTCGTTGAGAGCATGAACAAGACATCGGGATAATTCGAGTGTGCCCATGGCCTCACGAATTCGCCTTTCACGGGATACGGTTGGTAACTTCTGTAACATTTTCCTAGATAAACACTTAGGCAGTGGAAATGCAGGCATGTATGGAGCAATTCCTTTTCAAGAACTGGATCTGCCTGTCTCGGTGATGGCGATACAGATGCCTAGAAAGGGGGCTCAAAGCTCGTATACCTGCCAAGCACTTTCAGGTAAGGTACGAAGTGAAAACATATATTTACCGAATGCCTAACATCGACATGGCGGATTGCAGAGTGGACTTCCAGCCCGTGATACTGGATGTATCTTGTGAGTTATCCCGCAGGCTCCAAAGAACCTCACGGTTTCAATAATCCCAAGGTCTGAACCTCTGATCTTCTTGTCGCCAGATACATCACTGTGAAAACCCATCTGATTACCGTATGTCGAGTACAGGCCGAGATACCTACCCCTGAATCTGATGAAACATCTGCAAGTTACCGGTAGATCGTGTATCTACTCTGGGCAACGGTGCGATGGTGCAACCGGTCGAGGCGAGATGGGACTCGACGACCCACGTGTGTTACGTGCTGAGATTTTGTTTCTGTTGTCTCAGATCTGGCAATTTATCTTGCGGGGTCGAATAGATTATTTCAACTCTGTCGAGGCATCTTCAGGCGAATCTCGGTGCCGGGGTCCACTCACGGCCCCGGAGGATGGAGTCCGGGGATATGCGGAGGCAAAGTGGAGCTGTGGCCGGCCGCATTCCGACGTTGGTATCCGGGGGTTTTAATCTGCCGGAGGAGAAATGTGTTTTTTGATCGGGCTGGTGGATCACCCGGGTTGACTGTTGATCAGTGCAGGGAGGGCATAGCACGAGTAAAAATAGAGATTGGATTGTGGGGGGTGGTCGGAGTCTAGAGTGACGTGACTTTGTGAATGGTTGTGTGCTACTGCAACGCAACTCGACCCGGGCTTTTGCGGAGCCAAAGAAACGAGTAAACTTGTGGAGTGGTGACACTGTGATGATGTTGTGAGATGTCAGTGTTTACAGCGTGTTGGACCCTGGAGTCAACTCTAGCGAGACACTGGAACTTGGACCTTGGACCTGATTTTGGTCACATCCCTCGAGATCAAATTCCCCTGAGGGTTTGGGTCTGTGCCACATGTGCCATGGTCGGCGCTCAATAGTTCAGATCACAAACAACAAAGAAGAGATGACGATACTTGGTTGGCTGGCCGCTCGGATCGGTGTGTTTTCGGGTCCGCTGTCCGAGCAATCCACAATCTGGCCTATCACAGTCAGCAAGGCTGCCTTTTTTGCAAATTTGGGGTGTCGTTGGTTTGTTCTTCTTTGAAAGACGGGACTGCCGATGATGGGAACGAGTCATCAAGCGAATGGGAATCGTGTTTTGGGGGGCATCTCGGCCTGAACCGCCAGATTCTGAGGCGCAGTGCAGTGCGGGAAAAGAAGAGCATTTTCGTCCAACATCTTGGCGTGGCCATCAGCTCTGACAGAAATGTTTCCGAGGAATCTTCGTCAAAGTTCCATCAGAGAAGAAGGATTCTGGAATACCGACCCAATGCAATATCTCGGTCTGCTGAGATGCGATGGATGATGGCCGAGAGCAAGCAAAGGGAGGAGAGAGGCGCAAACAAAAGTTTTCCAGCCGCGCGGATCTGTCCCTAGCGGCATCTTAGCCATCACCGAGACCGAAGTGCTGGGATTTAGGGGATTTTTGGGGATGCAGCTGGGGCAGCATTGCAGAAGGAGGCTCTTGGCACGGCTTCCGTTTGCGACAACATGTCGGTTTCAGTCACGCTCTGTGGAACGTCACTGTTATCAATCAGTTCCATTTTCTTGAGACGCCCTTACTAACACATCACAATCGGTCCAAAATTCCCCCGTTTGGTCGCTTACCAATTCGCTCCGGAAGCCTCTCCACAGAAACTGTCCGCTTCTTTGACAACTCTCCAGCCCACACGACAACAGCACCGTTTCTTTGATCCTTGGAGCCCGACCCTACGGATACCTGCCCCACGTTCCGTGACACCTGGACCTTGCCATAGGTCCAAGTCGCTCAAGTCCCGGGCGTCTTGTCTCGGGGACCTGCAAGCCGGCAGGCGTGAGCACTTTCTCGCGATGCTCGTCTCGTTTAAGGCCCCAAAGATGTCTTGGTAGCAAGCCACCGCGATCATGGGTCGGAGTGCGGTCCAATTCCTATCTCCAGTGGTACATTTATCTCCGGTCCGCTGAGCTGACCGCATTGAAGGCACAGCGCCCATCTTACCTACCTACGCTCGGCTACTTTCCCCTACTGTAAAAAGGCCCCCTGCGGCACCCGGTACTTTTTTTTTTTCACAGTAGTTAGACAGTCTAAAGATATAACAACGTCAGGGTCCCGCCCCGAGATTCTGATCTCTCTTTTGTCCCATCTGAAACTATCTCCACTTCCCCCATCATCCTCAGCAACCTCCATCTATACCCCGCAACTCAAACAGCACTCGACACACATTGGGAACTGCACCATGGCTAGTAATTCGCTGGACAAGCCAGCGACGGACGGGCTGACAGCCGAGTCGCAAGCACCGACCGTCGCCCCAAGTTCCAAGAGCATATCAGACGACGAGAAGGTTTCCAACTCTGGGGACAGGACAGACATTGACGCCGGCTCTTCAACCGATGCGACGGAAAAGGTCTCCAAGCAACCAGAAATCACCACATCAACGGCTGACAATGAGAAGACGCACAACATTCTTGCCAAGCACCCCACCGCCGTCTCCCAAGCTGGCAGCAAGAAGCTCGAGCCCTCCAAGACAAGAGAAGATGGCGAAGAGTACCCAACAGGTATCAAGCTCGCCGCCATTGTCACTGCCCTGTGCCTGAGCGTCTTTCTCATGGCGCTTGACAACTCGATCATTGCGACTGCTATTCCCAAAATTACGGATCAATTCCAGAGTTTGCCAGACGTGGGTTGGTATGCCAGTGGTATGTTGTTCTCACCCTTACCTAGTTTCCCTCTTTCACACGGCAGTCAAACTAATCTGTGGTTTTCTCACCAGCCTACCTCCTCACCACCGCCGCTTTCCAACTCCTCTTTGGCCGTTTCTACACCTTTTTTTCCATCAAATGGGTTTACCTCATCGCCATTTTCATCTTTGAGGTCGGCTCCCTTATCTGCGCCGTCGCGAACAATAGTGTTACCCTCATCATCGGGCGCGCCATCGCCGGTGTCGGTGCGGCGGGTATCTTCTCCGGTGCCCTCACCATCCTGGCTTACTCCGTCCCCCTGGCCAAACGCCCTATCTACACCGGCGCCATTGGCAGCATGTACGGTCTCGCCTCCATTTCTGGCCCTCTTATGGGCGGCGCCTTCACTGATCACGTCACCTGGCGCTGGTGCTTTTACATCAACCTGCCCATCGGTGCTGTTACCATCGCGGTGATCATGTTCATCTTCCCCGATCCAAAGAGGGAGATCAAGAACAATGACACGCTCGCGCAGAGAATCATGCGGTTCGATCCGTTTGGCACGGCGGTGTTTATGCCGGCGATTATCTGCTTGTTGCTTGCGCTGCAGTGGGGAGGGACGCAGTACGCCTGGAACAGCTGGAGGGTTATCCTGCTGTTTGTGCTGTTTGGGGTGTTGATTATCATTTTTGTCGGAGTGCAGATTTACCAGGGGGATTTGGCGACTGTCCCCCCGAGGATTGTCAAGAAGAGGAGTGTCTGGAGTTCGGGGTTTTTCATCATGATGATTGGAGGGGCTTTCTTGGGAGCGGCGTATTATTATCCGATTTGGTTCCAGTCGGTCAAGGATGCCACGGCGGTTGGGTCGGGGATTATGAACTTGCCCATGTTGATTTCGTTGGTGTTGGTTAGTGTTATTGCTGGGGCGGCGGTGACGATTTGGGGGCAGTATGTGCCTTTTATGATTGCGTGCTCGATCTTGTCGAGTATTGGGTTTGGGTTGACGACGACGTTCACGCCGGATGTGGGAGCGGGGGCTTGGATTGGGTATCAGATTATTATTGGGGCGGGGATTGGGATTGGGTTTCAGCAGCCGTTGATGGCTGTGCAGACGGTGTTGAGTATTGAGGATGTGCCGACGGGGGCGAGCTTGATCATTTTCTTGCAGACACTCGGGGCGGCGTTGTTTGTGGCAGTGTCGCAGAATGTGTTTACGAATAAGCTGGTGGAGAATGTTGCCAAGTATGTGCCTGATATGCCGGATCCGATGACGATTCTGCATGTTGGGGCTACGAGCGTGGAGAATGTGGTTCGGCCGGAGGATTTGGGGGCTGTTACTTGGGCTTTTAATGATGCGCTGACGCAGACCTTTACGGTGTTCACTGCTTTGTCGGCGATTAGTATTCTTGGAGCAGTGTTTGTAGAGTGGAACAGCGTTAAGGGGAAGCCGGTTGAGATGGGGATGGCTTAAGGGGTGTTGTTTCGGTTTGGGTTTGGATACAGTACCTAATCTTTGTAATGTTTTCTTTCTGTGATATCCAATAGACGGTAGGGCGCAATGGTTAGGCAGGGCATGGGTAACAAGGAACCAGCTGTATGCTTAGAATTCACGGGACGAGGTTCATTTGATACCAGATATGAAGGCACAAGCAATCTCAACTTTTCTACCATCGAATCAGTATTTGAACATGAAAGCCATATGATAAATATTGACCCCATCTACCTGCTTTCCCATTAGGCAATTCTCACCAAGTTATTGTTTACCTGGTACCTGCACCTGACCATTTTGTGGCCTTCTGCTTTCCCTTGGTATCCTTTTCCCTGCCTTCATTTTCCTACGGCTCTTCTGGTACCATGACGTTGCAATACGGACAGTCTCGTTCCCATCATTTAGCTCCTCTTCCACATTTTTCATCTGAGAACTTGTGCCCTCGGTGTCCAGACGAAGCAGGGAGAATTTCTCGCCGAGTAAGGTCTGCAGTCGAACAGGTATTTCATCTGTGAACCACATGGTCAGCTCTTCTCTGCGAGGGACTTTAAAGCAGGTAAACACACGGGTATATGTACTTACAAGTGGTAACATTGCTAGCAGCTTCCTTCATCTGTGCAATAACCCTGGGATTGACAGCTTATAGTTCCGATATACGCTGGCGCCACGGACCCCATATAAATCTTTCCAAGGATCGTGGATCCGATGTATCGAGTTGGGACAAAGGTTCTTCAAATTCTGCCATGAGCTGTTGAAGGATGCGGGCGTTTTCTTGCTCCGAAGGGTCCGCCATGATTTCCTGGATAATTTTGTTGTCGCAATTGGCGATAACACGGGGTGATTCCGTTATGTCTATCTGATATTTTATCTCCTGCCACGGCTTCATGCGAACATGGATACCCAAGAGGGAGGAAGGTAATGCCAAATTGTAGTGTTTGAGTTTGGGGATCTTTGTTCTCTTGGCTATGTCATGAAAGGCTCTCTTCATGGGATTAGGGGGTCCATATGATTCGAGTATCCCTAGGTCTTTCAGGATGCAGCAAGTATTCGTCATGTCCAGTGCTTCAAACGTAAGAAACTGAACAAAGCACAGAGATGTTTGCTGGTGAAGAGCGATATGTTCCATGGAATCTGGAGTATGGTGGGTCAGGATATGTCGCCAGAACAGGTCAGGAGGCCACCTATTCGTGCTATATCTCCTGAGGTATATGAGTACTGAAAGTGTGGAACCATATGCTTTCCAAAGGGATGTGAGTACGGAGCAGCCACCCATATTAGGCGTACACCAGCACTTGCATCGGTCTCTGCTGTCAATTCGCAGTAATCTCGATACCATCTCCCATGCCAAAGGTGGATTGTAATATCCCCCTCTTTGCGGTGGGGGATTGCCCCAGCACATGTCGCTGGTCGCTGTGAGTCCGATCATAGAAGACATGTAGTGCCACCGGTGGAATATCGGTTCAGCCCCAGATTCCTCGGATCTCTCTGCCTCATGTCAAGACAGCCATGACTTTGCAGCCATGTCCATCCAAGCAACCTTTTTCGCTCCTCAACCTTGACGTTCTCAACTTGCCGATTCATGCTGAACTCTTTGTTCCGCCAAACCATCACTGAAGTCAGTCCAATATCATTATAACAGTCGTAATCACGAAATCCGTTTTGCCACAGTACCGGAAAGTTTTGAATACCGATGTCAAAGGCTGTGAAATACGGTACAGTACCGCGCCGGGACTGAGAGATGGGAAGAGACCGGAATGCCAGCACTTGTTAATGCTTCATATAGTAGGGGGGTCTCTTTGTCCATCACCACACTCATATCCCAATCCCGGTATATCCCCAACTCGCGCTGCCCTAGTTTGACCAGTGACCTCCGCCTTTGGACTAGGTGTCCGAGGAAAAGATTTAAGAATCCTTGACTGATATGGTAAAGCCAAGAGGCATATTCAACTCCGAGCTGGGCAATGCACCCTGCTGAGAAGAGAACGTCCGCGGACTTGAGATACTCATCACGCTCATGCGCTCGCCTTGCCAGGATCATGATTGGAGAGTTGCCTGATTCCGAACTTATGTCATCTGAGATTGTGTCGATGAGGCTTTTGGCACACGTTTGGAGGAGACACCGAAGTCCCTCTGGCCATTGTAGACAATAAACAATACTTGTGCACCCTGCGATTCTGTCGAGTGGTCCATCCGGATCACCCTCTATTGCCGTCATGAGCTGTTTTTTTGATTTCATGATGATGGCACGTGCGATAGGGTTTATGTCTGAACAATTATAATGAATATTTAGCGAATGATTCCAAGATGTGATGTCTCATGGCTTCGATATAGGGACAATCAACGTTCAATGCGTTGTCGCACTCACCCACAGTCAAACTTGGGAAGCAGTGGTGAATGGGAGCTATGTGGTGATAGCCTCCCAGTTTCCGTATCAAGTCCTCCTCAGACATCACTCCTGATCTTTCCTTGGACCAAAAAATCATAGGTTCTTGCACAGCCCACTCTTGGGTACCATATTGGATTTCCTGACGGTCAGCGATGTAACACAGCAGGAAGAAAAGTCTGCGCATTGTTCTATGATAGGTCAGAACGTGCGAAAAAAGGACCTTTACAGAAGCCAGGTATCTTGCTTACCTTATAAAATGCTCATTTTTGATACAGGTCCTTCCAATGTCAAGAGCGGTTCCAATAATACGGAACAGAACTTTGAAAGCCGCTCTCTGCCGGCTGCATGGATTCAAAAGCACGCTTCCAACCATGCGAGTCACGAAGCGCTATTACACAGAGAAGGTCCAGTTAGATCATCTGATTGAAAGAATTCATGACGCACCTAAAGGCAAGTTACTTCTCCATAGGTAGAACAAGTTTCGTTGTCCTCATGATCCCAGGGGGATGCCGTGCCTTCACAATACAGACAAATTACAGCACTCTCAAACTCGCCCAACCTAGAGATTAAATCTTCTTGCGAAAGCTCCATGATAGGCGGTAGAGCGCTTTCGACTATCCATTCTGGTAAAAGGGTGGTCAGCGGCGGCCTGTCCCCTTGGTAGTGAAAAATCGATCAGGCGAGTTCACTTTGAAATCTTGGTACAATGTGCTTGAAGCGTAGTGAAATTCCCGGGCAGCCGGTACCCACGGTGTATTCGATACATGCACGATTTATTCGGTGTATGAGATGCCCCAATAAGAAGGGTACTTGTACTCGAATCGTTCTGCTCGGTCTCCGCTTCAATTCGAAGAATCGGCAGGTTTCCTTATGAGTTCCAGGTGTAGTTTGAGTAAACTGAAACTCAAATCCCCACATGCAACCTGAGTAGTAGGAATATGGCTGATCGGCAGCTGTTTCTCTCGGACAGTTACAGGAAGGCGGGATTATTAAATATCGGTTCTCATCAGCGGTTGACGAAATGTGGTTGTATGGATCATTGGATATTTCCGTGGATGAACTAAAAACGTGATCTCGATTCGTACGTTGTCTATGGTCCGCAGATGACTGGTATCATGATGTCAGAGGTTAGCCTTTCATTGATCACGATATGCTTATTAATTCAGAGCACTATGCATTTGTCACTTACTGATACCGACATCCTGTCAGATATCAAGCCCAATTTTGCAAGTAACTCGTAAATCCCAGATCTGAGTTTGAGGTTTTCCGAGCTTAGTGCTGTTGTATCGTCATGGAAGATGGACAATCTGCTGCATATCTCGTCCTTGGCATCGCGGATACCCCATTCTGTCCGTATGGCCACACTACTTACAGCGTCGAAACCTTGCGAAACAGCTTGCCCTTCAGGCTGTCCCCGGGATAGGACTTATCGATGGTGCTCAGTAGCCCTTGCATTCTGACCAGGTGGTCCTCACAGTCGAAGAGACACTTCTTGACAACCGCATACTCGGATGAGTGGTTCTGCTGGAGTTGAGGCAAAACATCAGTGATCACCATGAACAAGCTCTGAAGGTTCTGTAGATTTCGTAAATCATCTTTGATCTGGTGCTTTCGTTCACCAATCGCCTGAAAGTATGCCATGAGACCCTGACAGCCTTGAATGCCGAGGGAAGCGACTCCAGCAGCGCTGCCGATGACAGAGAGAGGGTCTGCCATGCTGAGGGACCGAGGGAGGAGATTGCCTGGGGTAAAGCAAGGGAAAAACAGATGATCGGAGCAAGAAGAAAAAGGGTGGAAGCAACTTCCAATTGTCCAGGTACAGTTGCCCATAGTGGCTGTGCTGTATGCCTGAAGAGAAGCCCGCATAGCTTCCCCGCACCGGAAGACTGTGTGATAGGATGCTGATGTTTCACAGCGTGTGTCCTTTCTTACCCAATGACACCAGGTCGTCAAGGCTGGCAATGCTGTGCAGCATGGCGAGAGAGTTTGGTTTTGAGCGGCCAAGTGTGTCTCAGGGTGGGTAAACCACTTCAGTGTGAAGCGCTCAAGTGCAAAGGTTTATATGCCTACGACACAAGGCGTTCGACCCGTTTCCTGACAAATGGTCCAGTTTGTGCCTGGTAAAAATAGTTCCGCGTGACGGCCGTTCATGAGCGGGAGCTAATCCGTTTTGCCGAGCTACCCTGGTTGCTTCAAGACGCTTTTTTCCCAGAAGCGTCTAGCTGATGGTGCAGGACTAGGGGCTGTGATGAGTGGAAGTTGCGGACACTCCGAAAATCAGACTGCACCTGCTTTCACCAATCAAAATAAACCAACTATCCATTCATTCGCAGAGGCAACTCTTTATCGTCTTATTAATTATTATAACCAGAGACGCGAATATGCCGATTCGCGTGGTGTTTGGAACCAAAGACTGCGGCCACTGGACAGCGCCTTTCCAAGACTCCATCAACTTCGCCACACTTCAAGCGCAAGCTGTTGACTGGAAATCATGTTCAACCGTGTTGAAATGGATTCTTTCGACGCGCATCATGTTGCGATAACGACATGAGCGATGTGTCACTCATGTATGTGAAAGCCAGGCAGCAATCCTACTGGAAAGCGGGTTTTCGCCGTATTGGTCTTAGTTGTGTACCGGGGGGCATGGTCCACACGCAAGTTTGTGGATGATTTTGGCATGATTTTGCTGCTCTGCGGTCTCCTAGCTTTTGGTATTGTCGTCATCCCTATCCTTGGCATCATCTTGATTGGCATGGCGGTGCTCGCGACGCTCTGCTGTTGCGGATGCTGTTTGTGGTACTAAAGTACACTACGAAAGATTTTTTACAGGATACCGAAACGATACTTCAAAGCCATCACCTGGCTTTGCGACCAGACTCAATCCTGGTTTCTTCGGATGCTTGGCGCCAACTTCGGCCGCTAGGAAGGCAATATTGCCCCGCCGATATGGACCGAACTTATGAGTGAACAAGTCTGCAGGTCCGCGAGATACATAATCGGAGATTCTGAATCCGGCATCAGTCATGGCTTGGAGCTCGATATCAAGAAACTTATTATAGGGAAGATTCCACCAGCACATCCATAGTTTGAATTTCCACGGGGCTCATCTTGCATCCGCATTTCATCAGCTTCAACATCTCCGGATGGCGCTGAATTGGGGTGCAACATTTACCAACACACATACAATTCCCGTGGGCCAGTTGGATCTTTGGCTTACTTCGCTCCAGGAATATGACAAAGAGAAAATCACCCAACCGGGTTCTTATTCCTTGGAGCTGGGAAACTGAGTCTTGCAGCCTGTAAGTCGCCTTGGTATCAGTACTCCTGCTGGGGAAACGTTTGGTTCGGATCCTAACACACCTGCCTCATTCAGGGCACCGAGATCAGAAATGCTGGAAAGCCATGAGGTCACCAGTTGGGGTCAGTGTTGCCAAGCTACCAGGCCAACAATATGACCGCATCAACGCCACAGGTGACCATTCAGGGGCGTCGAGCAGCACCGCAATGTCAGGGGAACTTCTTCCGACGAGGGTACTTGATTTGGGAGTGGAAGGTGCTTCTAACATCAATAATCTGACTGTGTCAGTTGTCAGCAGTTCGAAAGATGTTATCAAGGTCAACAGCCAAGGTGGTCACTGCGGCATCGGTATCTCTGGATTGATGCATTGTGAATCTTACAGGACGACGCCGACGACTGGGCTCGCGAGTCTGCGCGGATGGCTGCAGTCTACAGCCATACCTCCTGCACGATCTCAGATCACACCGCTCGAGACAGCACAACCGGGTTTTTGGATGCCAGCCTGAAACCTCCACCGGCACTAGTACTGCGTTCACCCAGCTACTTCTTCACCCCCCATCGTACCATCGCCCACCTAACCATTCTGGGCTCTTTTGGCGATCAAGTTACCGGAAGCTTTCTCAACTGACGGGGTTGGGTGTTTCAAGAACGGGTTCTGTCACGACGACTCTTGCACTTTGTAGACCACCATGTCTTCTTCGATGATGCGGCTGGTCCGATTGCTGATGACATTACATCAGGGAGCACGCCGCTTCGCCATCCATAGGATAGCAAATGGTCTGTGACCGATTCATTCCAGGCCTCTGTGTACTGGTATCGGCTCGTTGAGAAATATTCAAGGTGCTCCCTGACCTACGGAAAGGACCGTTTACCTGCGATTGCTGGTCTTGCACAGAGCTTTAGCCAGATGAATGATCTTGGAGGATAAATGTTTGGGCTGTGGGAGCGATTGGTTCACATGGGCTTGCTATAAATTAACGAAAGTCGGCGGCCAGTTGAGAGGAATTGTGGAAATATCGTTGTAAAGGAGGCATACAACGAGGCTGATGGGCTGACTCAGCAGCCAGGTCTCCACTGATGCAGATGCGGAGGACCAAAGCACTGTGACTGTGAGTAGTGATGATGAAAGCACTAATAACGGAAATGATGGAGACAAGCACTTCGAAGTCCCGCCAACGTTACCCTCATGGTTTTGGGCATGTTGTCAGCGTCGCGTAGTCTACCCCAATACTCTTTCCGATTCGATAAAATCCGATCTCGTGGTAGCACGAGGTTCCATGCCCCTGGATTTCAACAAACTGCCAACCTTCCATGCTACCACCATGAGCACTGAGGTTCTTGTGTTAGAGGGCACGGTAGCTGAGCTGCCACTTGTACACGCCAAGGCCAAGCGGGATCAACAGGATGTACCGTTTCTGACTTCTGGAATGAAGGGAATATAATCCATTACGTCAGATGGCAATCAATTCTGGTCGTGGATATCTCTGGACAGCCGGACAGCTACCTCGGATGTCGTCGTCTTTCCCAGGCTATCTTGCCTACGGATGTGCTGGCACGTCGAAACTGATAACACATTTTTGTTGAGGTACAAGACGACATATTACTTTTATACTACTGGAGGAGGTTGGTGGTCCCCCGGGTCTCAGCCGCTATCGGAGGGTCGGTGTTGGTGCGACGGGAATAGATCATTGGGCCGGGACTGGGCCAGGATTGGACGTAGAAGGATAAAAATTGTATAGATTTACGGCTGTCGTCACTATAAAAGGGACTTTTCAGTAGTGTTTGGGAAAAGGTGGACTGATCGATTTAGCAGTTGCCGACTAGAGAACTGTGTCCATGGATGCTCCCGGTAACAGCTGCTCCATAGTCTCCTATTGTCGTCACAATGACCTTTCCAGTGTGCCTGGAGAGCTTTACCGTTTGGAAGCTCGAGTCTAGGATCCCAGCCACCAGGATCACTTGGCCCGGCACGGACTTGCTACCCGTCATCTGATCAGATTGAGAAGCGTCCAATAATGACCTAAATGACCTTGAAAAGTCACCAAGTCGACTGCAAATAATCACGATGGATACTCTGTCAAATGGCAAGTAGCAGAACGAGCTGTCCACAATGCCACCTTCCCAGTCCCTCTGCCACAGCAGGAATACCGTGGCAATGAACCCAGTTGTCCCCAAACCCCATGTCTCACCCCAATCACTATTGCCGCTGTCAGCACATGTAGAACCGCCGATTTGGTATATATCTTCCTCATTCACTTGACGTCTGAACGACCCCCCTTCAAGGCTGCTTCAATTTAATCCTTCACCTCCAAATATTCTTGCAACCAATGACTAATAAGCGATGACGCTGTGGCGCTTCATCACAACAACAGCAGTCGTGATCCTCCCCAGCGCCTTCCACGCCCTTACATCACCTTCCCCTCTCCCGATTCTCCACTCCGCCACCACCACATCGACATGCAAACGCAATCACCATTTTCAACCTCGACAGTCCCAAGGACAACACGATGACCGGCAAGCGAGACATCCAAAATGCAATTCTCAATATCTTTCCTCTATCTTGCACACCCTCAACACGCCTGTGACCGTCGAGAACGTGACCCCTGTCCCTGCGAACGGCTTCTACGGTGAAGGAGCCTCCGACCCTGCATACCCAGTGAACCCCACCAATCTCCCTCCGCTATGCGCCGTCACCTTCCAAATCGATCACTCCACCACGGCGAGCTACCGTTTTGGACTGTTCTTACCTGATAAGCTCCCTTCGACAAAGAGGTTGCTCGTGGTGGGAAATGGGGGCTTCTCCGGTGGTATCAACTGGCTTGACATGTGAGTACCGAGGTCCGATTGGTCCTGGCATCGCCTTCACCGCAATCATTGCACTGTTGATCGGTGCTGACAACAAGAAAACAGGGCAGTAGGTCCCCACCACGGCATGGCCGCCCTCTCGACCGACACCGGTCACAATTCAACTGCCCTCGAGACCTCCTGGGCAAACGGCCACTCCGAGAAGAAGGAACTCTGGGGCTGGAGAGCCATGCATCGTTCCGTTGTTTTGGGCAAACAGATCTTTCAAGAATATTACCAACAGCCTAAACATGACAAACTCTGGATATACTACAGCGGTTGTTCGACCGGCGGCCGGCAGGGATTGCGAGAGCTACAGGAATTCCCCGATAGCTTCGATGGCGCACTAATCGGGGCCCCTGCCTGGTGGACAGCAAGGCTGAACCCGTTCTTGATGCAGATAGGCTTGTACAACCTGCCTGCTGACGACTCCAACCCGTACCATATTCCATTGAACAAGTTCTCGTTACTGCTCGAAGAGGTCATGAGACAGTGTGACGATGTGGATGGCGTACAGGATGGCATTGTCAGCAGTCCTGAGAAATGCGAGTTTGATCTTGGAACCTTGGTTTGCTCAGAGTTTGGGACAAACATCAGTAATTGCCTGACTGCAGAGCAGGCAGAGACAGCTAGGAAGGTCTATGAAGGGTGGCTATCCGAGGATGGGGAGTTGCTGTACCCTGGTTTGACACTCAGCTCTGAGAATCAGTGGTCGATCTTGTTGGGTGGGACGGTACCGAGCCCGTATGGCCTGGGGTATGTTAGAGACTTTCTGCTTGATAATGACGACAAGGAGTTGGATTGGACTGGTACCTCAAAGCTTGGGAAGGATATTATCGACAAGGCACAAAGACTGGATCCTGGTCATTCTTCAGCTATCCAGTACGACATCTCCAACTTCAAGGACAGAGGTGGCAAGGTAATCTTGTATCATGGTTTGGCAGATGGCCTGGTACCGGAGAAGGGGTCCTGGTGGTACTATAACAAGACCATTGACACCTTTGGGGGCGACTTGGATGGGGTACGTGAGTTCATTCGGTATTTCCAAATTCCTGGCATGGGACACTGTTTTTCAACACCGGATTGCAAGCCGAATGCACCATGGAATATTGGAGGCGCTTTTCAGGCAGGACTTATGGGGAGCGATACTTGGTCCGTACCGGGGTTTGAGGATGTCGACCATGATGCTTTGTTGGCACTGATGGCGTGGACCGAGGAGGGGAAGGCGGTCGACAAGCTTGTTGCCACGACTTGGCATCGGCCAACTGACTCAAACACGGGCGTGTTCATTCAACGACCCATATGCCCTTGGCCAGAGAAGGCTGCTTACGACGGGGTTGGTGATGTGAATGAGGCTGGGAGTTGGGAGTGTGCTATGGAAAAGGTGGAGCTGGTGTCGGAATGGCAAAGGCGGGTGTAGAGCTAAGAAGGGGTGGCTGCCAAGCGGCTAGACAGGGATGGACAAGAGCCTATTTTGACATCACACGTCGATCGTCACGTTCACAACGTCTTCACCAAAACTTGGCTTTCCACACTGCACCTTTGGTCCTCGTCAAAGGAAACATGATGCAAACCTACAAACCCACCACAAATAGCAAACTTGTTCATGATTTACACAGAACGCTTTTCAAGTCAGACTACGTTACCGTGGTACAGTATACCATGTCATTTCTCCGAAGGCACTCAAAAGTATATCAACGTACGATACAAGTGTCCCAGCTGCCACACAAATACGGACTTTGCCATCCTGTATGCCTGTAGTCCCACTCCATGCGGCCGTGTGACCAATCTAGATGTCTATCATAACCACATTACCAATACAGTTGGCAATGGGATGGCAGGCTGGTGTTGCCCCCACTCAGGGTGCCCACTTAGTCTTGAGACATCCTGGAATGAACACAACCTCTTTCAGGCCTGTCTGACATGACAGCAGGGTCTAATTGAAGAACAGTCACTTGCTGAGGGGTGTAAGTTCCTGGTCATGGTTGTACATGGATAACAATAGACTGCTAATCCAGGACGCTCAGCACAAGTGATACTAGATCAACATGAGAACAAAACGATGTATCACACCGAAGCACCAGTGAACAACATGGGGACGGGAGTAGATGCATTGGAGGCCGGTGGTCAAGAAAATGATCTGGGTGCAGTTGGGGTGGAAAGGCATGTGGTGGAGACACATGCTGACCCGGGTTCTACGGGCTGGGAACAGAGTAATTACGGACAGGGCCAGGGTGGTCAATGAGATGAGCCAAGCCAAGCCGAAGGTAATCCTGTCTCGGCTTGCCGCCCAGGGCCTTCGCTTGGCTTGAAGTTATTACAGCTTATTTTACGTCACTAGATTATTGTCACAACCTTAACATCGGGAACGGTGGAGCAGTGCAAGGTCACCAGCCAATCAGAACAAGGTCACGGCGGTCTGGGCGATCATGGGCAATGAGACTGGGAAGTGCAGTGATCACGGAAGTACAACCAATAAGGAACCAGAGAAGGATCATAGCGATCATTATGATCATTGGGGAAGAGCGGAATGATCACCATGATCGGGGAGAATCAAGGTCTATATATACGGAGGAACTGGCTGGTGTGGCTAGACAGTTCCGCAGTATGCAATTCACAATTGTATTCACGGTATCTTGTGTTTACATTGAGACATCTTGTTGTGCACTGTTTAGCTGCACCGAACCAATTGTCAGAAGTTACCTTCAACCCGTATTCCTTTCAGAGGTTCTGTACAGGGGTTCATCACAACTTAGGGCTAGGGTTAAGGTAAATAAGCTATATATATTTTACGGCAAGCTTAAGTAAAAACTAAAGTTTATAAGGGAAAAAATACAGAAATACTATAATAGTAAAAAGCTCGAGGGACCTTGCCTTAAAGGGGGAAACATAATATTCCTTTCTATACGCAATTTACGTACTAAACAACTTAGTAAGAAGCTGGACTATAGGAGAGTAGGCCCATTCAAGGTTAAAAAAAAAGATCTCGGAGACGGTATTCGAGTTAAAGCTACCTAATACAATACGTCTAAAGTTATATACTTTTTATATCTTACTTCTAGAACCGGCACTACCGGCAAGCAAAGCTAACACGCAGATAGTGGCGGAAGACAAAGAAGAAGAATACAATGTAAAAGAAATACTAATTTCACGGTTCAACAGAGGCCAATTGGAAAATTTAGTTTGTTAATTGGGATATCCAGCTACAGACAATTCGTGGGAACCAGAGGCAAACCTCAACTGCCCAGACAAGTTAAAAGAGTTCCACCGGCGACACCCAGACCGACCCAAACAAAAAGATAAGTACTTAAGTTCACGGGTTGTGCCCATAAACTTGGATATTAAAGAACCTCGACAGGAATCGAACCTGCGCCCTCGACGTAGTGGTCGACGTGCTACACACTACACTACGAGGTTGGAAGGTGTGAGGGGACCCAGATACAAGTAGTGCCACGCGTCTCAACCACCTTGGGAAGTGGAAGGCGCGCCACCGGCGGCACCCTGCGGAGTCAGGAAGGAAGGACCGGCCACATCAGGATCGAAGGAAAGGTCGGAAGGCCAGTCAAGGCCTAAGGAAGGGTCCGAGACGTGAGGAGACCACGGAACGGTGTCCTGGGCGGCGTCCGGCCGCGCAGGAGCACCCGGTGAAGAATCAGGTAGCGCCGCAGCTGCGGACTGCGCCACCTGGGCATCCTCCTCCTGGATACCCCGCGCGAAAAGACGCTCCTCGCGAGCACGGAGGGAGCGACGTGTTCGTTTTACCCGGATAAGTTTGGCAGTCAGTTGCGAGAGTTGGTCTTCAAGCTCTTGCTCCTCACGCTCGAGTCTATCCTGCTCTTCCATCGTTCGGGTCACTAGAGAGTGGTCAATTACGGTGCGGGAAGAAAAGGAAGGTATACCCACGGGCGGAGCCAACGTAAGACCCGTCACATAGAATCTTACGGCGCACGCACTCCGCGCATCGTGAAGACCCAGAGGCCATGATGCAAGGGATTCCGGAGGTAAAACAGGTAGAGCACGGCATCACGGCAGAACCACAGCGGAGGATTCGTGAGGCAAGGGAAGAAGACTGTTCAGTCTTACGATAACGTTTCTGCATACGATTAGGACATGATAAAGGTAGGAGAAGTAAAGAGGAAAAACTTACGATATTATTAGTAGTGGAAGAAGATTAGGCCGCAGGGACTTCGGCCTGGAGAGGGAGCATTATGTTACAGTTCTGGAAGATAGTGGGGCTACGAGGGACTAATTAGGACTGGACCGCGCGATCGAGCGGGGCTCACGGTCCAGGTGGGCAAACGGACCAATAAGATGGGGACCGGGGACCGCGGCGGAGCTTACGGTCCACGGTCCAGTATCGGCCAATCAGGAGTGGACCGAGGACCGTCTGTAAGTTAACGGTCCACGGTCCCAAGGTCTATATATACGGAGGAACTGGCTGGTGTAGATAGATAGTTCCGCAGTATGCAATCACAGCTTGTATTCACGGTATCTTATGTTTACATTGAGACATCTTGTTGTGCACTGTTTAGCTGCACCGAACTAATTGTCAGAAGTAGCCTTCAACCGAGTATCCATTTCAGAGGTTCTGTACAGGGGTTCGTCACACGTTACTAATTCGGTAATACTAAACGTAATAATCCCGGTAATAATAATTATACTCTAGAGGATATTACTTTTTAAGGATAATACCGTTAAATATTTCATAATTAAAAATATTTCAAAGTTGTATAACATTAAAAAGAATAAAGTTAATAGGTAATTTACAAAAAGCCTAATAATATAGCTACTAGTAGTCATTAAGAAATGCTATTTAAAACATAATAATCTAGGAAAATCAAAGTTCAACAAACGAAGATTTAATTATTAATTAGCAATAAAAATAGAAATTCTTTATTATTTGGACCTTTTTAATCTTTTATAATCCTTTAATAGGCTTTGAAATTACTTTGATAAAAATATTAATACTACGAATTAGGCTATTATTAATATCTATAGATAAAAAAAGGGTATAAAAAGTCAAGCTGGTAAACTAAGCTAGATTTAGGCTTAGATTAGCTTAGGCAAAAATATCGTTGTTTTAACTTGGCTTGAGGCCTCAGTCTATAAGATAAGCCGGGGACCGTCTCATCTCATTGACCACCCTGGATAGGGCTCGGGGGTCAGCTTGGAAGACATTTTCTCATAAGTCGGGGATGCCAACTCTGAGGGAGATGGCGCGATCCAGCAGCAAGGTTCTACTATTGGGCTTGTTGAGCATGGTCATCCTCCCGGTCAAGATGGCCAGAGTTCTGCGGGTTGCGTCACCCGTACAGGAGGAGGTTCAGACCAACGCTCCTGTTTGCCATAGTGACGCGCCTCCTCAAGAAGTCGGCGGATCACAGCAGCAACAATATGCCAGTGGTACTGTCGGCCATATCAATGTCGATTATTCAGCCAGCTGATTACAGCAGCAGCAATATATCACTGGCAATGTCGCCCCTGTCAATATCGATCTGTCAGCCAGCGGGATCACAGCAGCAGCAGCAACCTACCGGCGAAAATGTCA